AACTGCTCCTTGGTTTTATGCACCTGTCCAATGAAATCAATGAAACCCTCCCCTGACTTTGGAACTCCTTGTTCTGGCCAATCGGTGAACTGGAACTGTCTGACGGTTCTGGACTGTCCGTCCTGTGGAGAGAAAGACAATGAGTCTGAACCTCTCCAGACGTGTGAGCCTATAGAAACAGATAGGATCTGCCGGGACAACTGTGACTCTGGTGTGCATTCCTGAAAAGATCTGAACGTAAGACTGACAGCTTTACCAGATCATACCGCGGTAAATGACTCACCCTGGCGTCGGTGACTTTGAACTCTCTCAGGATGTACTGTGGCATGTTGTATTCTGCCATGGGATCCACTACAAAGTACTGATAGCGTGCCGAGCGCTCGGCTGGCCAGTACTGGTGACACTTCTCCTGTGAGCACACAAACACACGGATGTTACCACTGCTTCAGTCAGATCCAGATGGAGCATGTTTTCCTCCAGCCGTCACTCACCCGTCCCATCTCACGCAGTTTGGTCAGCATCACCACGATGGTGGAGTTGTGTTCCCACAGCGTGCGCCAGAAGTCCTCAGTGGTCTCCGCTAGCGGCCCCTGCGTCGCAATATACGCCCTCTGCTGCCTGGACACACATCGACACGTGACCACCAGCGGTATTATCCACCGCGTAACATCATGAAATCTGGAGCTGGAGTCCAGCGGTGTACCTGTATCCGTCGATGAAGCTGGCGTTGATGTAGTCGGACCCTTCCAGGCCTCTGATTGGCTGCAGACACACGCGGGTGGTTTCGTACGGCATGATGTTCACCAGCCGGTTCTTGAACTTGTTGCAGGGCAGATTAGCGCTGACGAACCTGGAGGTGTGCGCTTTACTGTTGGCCAGACGCTGACAGAACCACAGGCAGAATAATGTGAAGCACGGCATTAAACTGCTGCAGCTCACAAACTGAGTTCAACTCAAACGAACAGATTTGAACTTTGTTGAAGGTCACATTAAAGCTGCCCTGGAAACACTTTACCAGGCCTTAATAATTTAGTGTGACTACTTAACTATTTATGTACTATGCAGACTTTCATTCTCAAATAGATGCATATTTAAATTCATCATAAAAATATGAATTGTTCAAAACGCTGATGATCTAAACAAAGAGTGAATTAATACATTTCCTCTATATTGTAAACATTATGATCACACCTGTAATAATCGCTTTAATGAGCTTCTGCCTGAAATTAATTCATTTTAAAAACTCTTAATTATTCCGGTAGTGTACAGTAAATCATCTCAGAAGTGATGGAAATCCATATGAACAGCTGTGTGTGTCACATTATCAAGTGTACCTTGAACTCCAGCTCTATGCCGGTCACGTGTTCTCCGGCCTCCACCTGCGACAGGTTCTGTATGTAGGAGCACAGGCTGCGCGCCGCCACCTCTGTGTTCCCGCAGGCCACGGCCTCCAGCAGCGCCTCGTGGATGAAGCCGTACTGATCCTCCGTCTGCACCATGTAGTTCCTCTGCGAGCGCATCAGGGTCACGTGACCGTACACGTCCACCGTCCGCTCGTGACGGATGCGCTCCAGCATGGCGTCGATCACGATGAAGCAGCCGGTGCGGCCCACGCCAGCGCTGAGACACACACATCAAACACCACGCTTTTACTACGGTATAATTTCCCTGATCCGTTTCTGCTCACTAATCCGAACGCTGATATCAAGACAGACACATTCAGCTGACAGATGTGGACACAACAAAGCACTGTGGGATTACACGGTTTAATAACTATAATCCAGATTACAGATGAACACGCATGATGCAGAACATCCGTGAGGAAACGCTGCTGCCGTTTGTGTGTGTAATCTGGTGAAGATACTACACTACTATGAAAGAGAGTGTGTGTGTGTGTGTGTTCATGCATCAGTAATAAGACCACACTCTTCTCCAGACTCTCTCACACACACACACGCTCTCACACACTCACTCACTCTCACACACACACACAGACACTCACTCACACACTCACTCACTCAC